ATCATCTATTTTGAAAATTGATTTTAAATTGTTTCGTTTCAAACTCATTCTTTCTGACTATAACCTCAAGAACATTCTTAGACACAAGACAGGGCACGGAAATATGCATGACTAATTTTTTTCTTACACACTTCAGAGCGTCAAAAAAAAAAAAAAGACGGAAATTTGACTTTTTAAAAAGCCTATTCCCCCATTTCCTCACCCTCAAAACGATGCTAAGTGTCGGGGTTAGGAAAAAAACGATAACGTTTACCATGGTCTATTCTGCATTACAGAAATTAGCAACATTTATGAATTCTGTTGATCATGTAAATGATTCCACAGTTGCTGAAACGCATACGAGAACCGAATTAATTATATATGTGAGACTATATGTAGCCTGTAATCAAATTTTAAAGGTAACTTTCATGCATGAAACAGACATGACGTTAAATGGAAAGTGTGTTCTCCGAATACTTATTTTTTACTTATTTCTTTTATGAATTTGTACCGGGCTCATGATCAGATCATGGTCCAGTATACAAATTGGCGCAACGAACTAGCATGTTATTTACATTTTATTCTCAGAAATCAAACACCTAAGAAAGTTTTTTACCTGCGATATATTTCTGATTCAATTATAAATACCAAGGCACTGCAGATGCATACACTTTTTTTTTGTCCTTTGAAAATATACATGTATATCGAAATCAAGGAAAACACAGGTGCAGATCCAGGAATATTTTCCCGGGAGAAGTTGAGTGGGTGGGTGTGTTGTTTACATCAACTATTATTATTACACTTTGTTCGATCCTGGGAAACCTATTTCATGGAGGGGGGGGACACTTTAGACATTTTCATTACTAAATTTTCTTCAGATACACGACTCTCCTTTCTATTGTAAGAGGAACCCTTGTTTCCGGGGGCAAAGTAACTTTACAAATTTAGAAAATTCACTTCTCTTAAATAATTCCAGGGAGGCCAAACTCACATCCGACACCCCCCCCCCCCCTTTACACCCGCGCATGAAATAGAACTTGAAAATTGTGACACGAGCGAAAATGAATTACGATTCTCCCGGCATGTGGACTGGCCCGAAGATGTAAAAGTTTATATTGTTTGTAAATACATGTAATTGAATAAAAACATGACAGTAATTTCAAAATAATCAAACATTTAAAATCAATAATTTGATTATTCAACATAACTTAGAGTGGGTTATCAATTTTCCGAACACCAACGCAAGCTAAGCGAGATCAAAGTCTGATGTGATTCTTTGATCTGTAATTAAGGACAAACGGATTGAAATTAGTCCCTGGCATAATTGAATTATCTTTTATTAGAATTCATTGAACTAATCAGTGAAAATAAGAATTAAATTCTGTTATACTATAAAAGAATTTTATATTGTTTATATAAGATTGAATGAAATCTTTTAACATGTACGCTGCTTCTCGGGGGGGAGGGGGGGGGGGGGATTATATTTCCGTGTTTACATACATCTACTATCAAGAACGCCAAAACAAACGGAGTTCGCATTCGTTATTTGACACATGATATGAAATGCACAACAATGCTGGGGAAAGGACTTCCCCACCAATACCTGTTAATGTCATGTCAATGTGATACATGTACATTTGAAAGGACTTCCCCACCAATACCTGTTAATGTTATGTCAATGTGATATATGTACATTTATCCTTCGTCTAACAGTATGCGATAAATATCGTAATATCCTAAATCCTCAGTCTAAAATGCTTACTTTACGAACGCCTTGCTCTTTACTACGTTATCATTATTCTAGGCATAAGTATCGACAGCTAGCACTATTAACAGTAAACGAAGACTGTTCTTCAATCTAGTTACTTATTATGATTTTATGTGCTGATTTACTGCAAAGAGAATGGAAACACAAATTCTAAACTACAATTAACTTAAGATGAACAAATATAAAAGAAATTTTTTGTAAACATGCATTTTTAGTATATACACGTCATATATATGTATATTCATCCCTGATAATTAGAAATAAACCCCCCCCCCCCCAAAAAAAAAGAAAAAAATTAATATCAAATACTGAGTAACTTTTTTTTAATTGCGACGACATGGCAAAATAATTTTTAGGGTCTCCATTTCTTGAAATTGTCGAACATGTTCAATATATTTTTAACACAGCTATAGGCTTACATGTATATTGTGTTTCATAATATGAACATCACAATCACTGACACAAATAACGAATTCGTTTTAACTAAAGATTTTTCCAATAATCTAAAAATATGTCATGCTACAGTAAAGACACAGTCCACTCACATTGATCAAAATGTAGAAGTCAAGTCACAACAAAGTATTACACAGTACAGTATTACGTTAGACTGATACAGCTAATCAAAAAAAAAAAAAAAAAAAAAAAAAAAAAACCAGAATATTTCGCCTAATGTAGACATCGGATGAAATCGCATGTGTTACCAAAGATGACTATTTTATGAGACTGTTTTATCCAAAACTAAAATCTCAAATG